GGTTAGGTAGCAACGCAACGCATCAGCAACATGTAAAAGTGTTTTAAAAAGTGCATCTAAGAGAGGCGTCGTTTCTCAGAAGTAAAGACGGGCAGAAAGTTTCTTTCTGCAGAAATTTCAGAATAATGTTCCTCAACATAAAATAGCAAAGATTTTAAATATCTCATACACATTACATCATATCAGAAAAGATTCACTTGCACTCAGCAATTTTGCGTGTAAGTGACACAGTTAAAAGTCAACACTGGATGCCCCTGATCTCTGGGCTCTCTCTGCGTGGGCTCAGGAACACTTCCACAAATCATTTTCTGTGAACACAGCTCACCTTGCCGTCTACAAATGCAGGTTAAGAAGAAGCCGAATGATGACATGATCCAGAAACACAATTTTAAATCTCTTTTTAAATGGACCAAGGCCATACTGTGGTCAGACAAATTGAAATTCTTTTTGGAGAACATGGACACCGCATGCTCTGGACTAAAGAGTAAAGGGACTGTTATCAGTTCAGAACTCTCTATCTCAGATGGTATGTGGGTGCATTACGGACTATGGAAAAGCCAGTTGCACATCTGGAAAGCCACCATGCCCAAAGATATACACTGGTTTTAGAGTAGCATATGCTGCAATGTCTTTTTCAATGAAAGCCTGCCAAAATGAGTTATTATTTTTCTTAAAATATTACATTTTCTCAGTTCAAACATCTGATTTGTTAAAGATGTGGTTTTATTAGATTTGCAAATCATTGCATTCTGTTTTTATTTACATTATATTGTGTATTCATGGTTAGTTTATACATACTGACTAAATAATTTATTTGTATAGTCTAAAGTTTTTATCTACATCCACAAATCCACCTTTGACTAAGGAGCGTACCCATCCCATTAACTTATTTCCTTTTTGTGTTTGGAGCTAACAATTGGAATTTCTATAATGGACTTACATGAAAATAAATTGGCAACAGGTAGCCGAGATAACAGGACGAAAGGCAGAAATAGGAAATGCAGATACTAACAAAGCGTAAACATGAGCACTGTGCCTGTAAAATGCTAATTCTAAAACATGGAGAACAATATCTTTAATTAAGCAAAACATGCCGAGAGAGGTTAGTCGTTAAGTATTACACTGGACTTGATATGGCTTGCATATGCTCTGAAATTTAGGCTCCTTTCCGGGTGTCCTCAGGGGAGAGCTAGAGTGGAAGTGTCTAGGCAGGTGGGCCAGACCAAACATCTGGAGAGGAGGAGGCGAGGGAGGTGGAGAGAATATAAGGGTAGAGGTGTTGGAGGGCGACTCAGCAGGGAGATGAGAGCTCCTCCGGCTCCCCGCTGAGGTTGAGTAGGCCGTGACATTTCCAATTTGCTCAAATTGATCGCCAGCCAGACCCTCTCTTCTCCTGCCCTCCCCGTCTGTGGTGAGGCCCATGCCCAGACTGTGGCGTGTTATGATGAATGGGCTAAATGTCAAGGACTTGAAACCCAGCTCAGATCCTCCATGGCGGCGCTTCATTTGGTATTCTGCCTCTCTGTCCGTGAGAAACATTTGCCCCAAGCTCAGGAATGTTGGTTTGTGATATTTTCTTCCCAGAGGAGTAAATGCTTATGACAAATTGCCCAAATAATATATGCATTTCATATTTTCTGTTATCTGGGGGAATTTTGGCATTTTAAATAATTGAGAGCTTCTTTTTCTTTTTTGCACTTTAAGCTGTGGCTTACAAAACCAGCCGGTGAGGCAAAGCTCCATCTTGAAATTTGAAGATTTCGGTACTGTTTGGCACGGTGCCGTTGACGTGAGTCACAGTCAGGCTGTGGCACGGTATCGCTGAAGGCCAGAATCAGTCGATAAAGAGTCATGCCTACGCACTGATGCGAACAGTGGCTCAGGCTCAAAGAAACTCCTCCATAGTTAGCTAGCGGGTGGATACCTGAGACAAGGTCACACTTAATTACTGAAGCGCACATCAAAGTTTGCCTTTGGAGGCCGTGTCGCATTTGTTTATAGGATTAAGTCTCGAGCAAAGCACACCAACCAAGCGCGCGTTAAGCCTGACCTTCTGAGAAGCAACTGAGTCATCTTTTCATTAGCAAGGAGGGTGGTACAGCACCTCAATCCACCTCTCTACCATCCTCACTGCATAATTGAAAGATTTCCAGGAGCTGTTCTTCACTGTTCACCAGACTCACATCTTTCTCTTCTCAGATCTTTTTAAATTTCACAAGTGTCTGCCAAAGGTATTCCTTTAAAAAAAAAATTAAAAAAAAAGTACTCCAAAGAATATACAGCATATGCCTTTGCTCAGGATGTGATGACACTGACATAACCACCTACATCGCTATGAGTTCAAAGAAAATGTAAGCCAGTTAGCTCAGCAAGAATCCTCCTACATCCTAAACATTTCCACAGGAGATGAAACCGCAGGTCATGTTCTGTACAAGAGCTCATCTCTCAATGGAGATTGTGCTGTCGTGGGGGGGGGAGTGTATACCGTGCTGATGAGAGAGTGTGAACAGCGTAGCTTTCCCTCTTCTTCTTTTTTTACCTATCCAGGGTGGGGGCTTAGCAGTAATGAGGCATCTAGCTGAAGCAAAGATGCATCAAATGAAAGGTTGCCTCACTGGTTGAGTCAACGCAAAGGTGCTGCTTCCCATATTTGTGAAATCCACTTGACTTCAGAGCACTGCTCGCACTGAGCTTCGCTGTGGTGTCAGCGCTAACCTGATTTGAGTCTTTGGATGCTGCTCCTGTTAGCCCACTGCAAAAAAGATGATGTTCTCTCTCATACACGCACTCGCTGTTCCAGCATGGCAAATTAGAAATACCACAAACACACACACACACAATTGGTATGTTTGTAAAGGAGGGGAAAGTGGTTGCACTCAGTGTCATCATCTGACAGTTTTATATCAAAGCCTGGGGCCAGACAAGAGACCTCACTGAGGGTAGTCTTTAATGCAGACTTGGTATATAGTCTGTTCTGTCTCAATAAGACCCAGTACATCTGTGTTATTGTTAACTGATATAGGAATTCCGCTGAAATAGATCTGTCACGTTGTGTTTTGTAATACGGAGCTGGCAGTGGCACTCAGTGGATTATTTTCTGTAGCTTTAGTGGAAATCCAGCTGAGCTGAAAAAGAAAACTGAACTTGGCAGAAATAGTTTGAAACTAATGATAAACTCGGAAGAACCGCCCTCTAGAGGGAAAGTATTTCCATTTATCGAGAAATTCTCATCACACATCGCCCTTTAGTGATAATTAATTTGGACCATCATGAGCGAGAGAATAATTTATCTTTGCATGCAGACACTTAATAGATGTATCAATTCATATAACCCGAGTTTAACCTTTGCTACTGCTTGGCTCTGCTTTGTATTCAGAAGAATACATAAATCTGAAATGCGGGATACACAGGTGAATATTAGATCAGAAGCCCAATTTTATTTGGGATTAATCTGGAACAGATTACTACGGAGTTCTTTAATGTACGTGGTCAGGTGGTGTATAATATAGACCCACTTAGAAAAAAGGCAGCAGCTTTTTTTTGTCGTAAAAGGGATTTTTTAAGAGTTTTGATTAAGATGTCTGGCTTTCATCCTTTCCTTGACCCAGAGCAGTCTGCTTGTCATTGCACGATGCTGCTGTGAACCATGGTATTGCATGGTAGGATTGTGCAACGGGGGTATTTCATCTTTATTCTCAGTCTTTTAAATGCCATTTGACAGTTTCAATCTCAAAATCAAGACTTCTTCCCTACTTCTCTGTGCACTGCTTCTCTCATCTCTTCACAGATCTTTTGACCACTTAGCTGCAGTTCCTGGGGGCATCCTGGATTAAGACCCTTTGCAGTTTGGCTGGTCAACCAACTGATTGTCCAGCCAAACTACCAAAGCTGAATTCCACATGGTCAGCTTTGTGAGGTCAACAGAGACTTCATGGACCTCATGTCTTGGTTTTAGTTCTCACATGCAGTGTGACTTCTGGGAGCCTTTGATTGTTTTATGTCCAATCAAATCAGTTCATCACAGGTGGACTGCATATTTTATTCTTTTTAAAATGAATAAAAACGTTAAGATGTCTGATTACTTTTTGAAAGAATTGTACATGAAGTACAACAGTGGTTGGTGCTGACAAATGTTCCTATTTCGGCATATTGTAATTCAAATGATCTTACAAGGAAGTATACTTTTGAACCCCTGACAGCGTGTCAGACTTTACAAAATCAAGCCTGTGACAGCAGTCTTTGCCTTGTGACGGATCTTTTCATATCAGATCACTTTAGAACTATAAAGCACTGTAAGGAGCAGAAAAAAGCAACCCAGTATCCTGGCAAAACGTGTAATAGACATGCCGGTCTACTGTGTCCATTCAACGCTTTGCCGTGATATTGGGTTTAAAAAGGGCTGCATGGCACGGTAAAACCAAGTGTGGTAATATGTCCAACAAAGGACTGTCACCTGGTGAAAATGAAGAATCCAATAGTCAATATAAAGTTGAAAAGGTATTTAAAGCAGATGTACTTACCTGTAACTGTGGCTTAAAGAAGGGCAGCTCTCGGAAGACGCCTCTCTGCTATTTTTCTCTTTTTTCCATTTCTTTTCTGCCTGCTGCTCCTTAAATTTTAAACTTTGCAGAACGTATACCCTATTGAATGTCTCTGCAAAAGCATACATATATTTGTTACTCCAACATAAACATATGGGATTCAGCCTCCACTTGCACACCCTAATTGTCCCCTCACATGGATTTCATGTACTGCTGAGAGGTGGCTACAATCGACCAGTTACCTTAATTTCTAATGACCTACTTAAATGAAATAATAGTGCGTTGTCATTTGGGGCATAATATAGAGGAAGTACTCTAAATGTAGGACAAAAGGAGTTAGCGCTGTAAAATGAAAACATATAATGATTATTAAGCCATAATTCCAAGATATGAATACTTTCTTTTGAGCCATTAGAAAATGTTTTGGCAACAGTCCAACTGTCTCTCTCCTCAATGCAGGAACGCTAAATGCATTCCTAAAGCAAAAGGGTCAAACGGCTTCAGAAGGCCTCGTGTGGTCGCTAAGTGGCAATCAAGGTGACCGCTGGAAGCAGGCCAAAGTAAGCATCCACCCAACAGCGTCTTTCCAGGTGAGCCTAAAAAACTTTCATTCAATATGCAGTAGCGTTTCCCTCGGTGCCCTCTATTTTCTTCTTTGCCTGTGTTTGTGTGGTATTGGTTTCCCTGGGGGCTAAACACTGATGTAGCTGTGAGAAGTATCCAGCATTCCCACAAAATGTCTCGTATGACACGCTTTTCCATCAGGAAGTGGATGATGGAAAGCTGCAGAACTTTAGTTGTAAAATAGGTAACTTTAGTTGCAGCTTCCAACAGTCATTATAAGCAAATACTTGCCACCTGCTGTTGTGTTTTTTAAGGGTTTTTTTTCCCAGGTGTAATTTAGCTAAATTACACTGACTCAGTCTTTATCTTACTGCAGTTCAAATTTCCCTTTTTTTCCTGTTCTTTATTTTTGTTGTTTTTTTGGTCTCTCAAGATTCAATATAATGACTTGTGCTACTCTCTGTAGGTCGTACTTCAAGGGATTCGGGGACCAGGCATTGAAGGAGACATTGCTATTGATGATATCACGCTGGAGGAAGGGGAGTGTCGAGACCCGCCGCCCAGTGAGTAGCACCACACACCCGCCTCCTCCATCCTCTCCTCTGTCCCTCTTATCGAAGTCCCCGGTACTCTCTCTCTACCTCACCGGACAAGGTTCAGATTTATGAGAGAGGATCTAATCTTAGACAGCTGGCAGCATAAAACGACCATCTCATGGGGAAAGCATGGTTGCCATGGCAACAGGGTGTGTAATCACATGAATGATAGCGGAGTGGAGTACTGTAATTGCGCTGCTGGAACAAACAGAAGGTAAAAAACAGAAAACAGGACACGGAAAATGGCCTGCAATTGACAGGGCATTATTGGTTGGCAGACAAATACAGTTCCCTTGATTTAATTCCCGTTATTTATTCTGCAGGAATTATTCGCAAAAGCCGTTCAGACTTAGACGTCTCTTTAACATGCCATAAATGAATCAAGATAATCTGTTTCCATTTTTCACGTCCGTGGTGGAAAATAACTGCCCATCTAACGGCAATCAGAGACGGTGATCTCGGTCCGCAAGATGCATTGTTTTTGTCGCTGCGAGTTTGTTATTGTGTAGGTTATTTTTCATTTGGGTGCATTATGATTCAAAGCGACAGCATTAATTCATTTTGGAAGTAAAGGAGTAGTCGCCCGGGCTGAGGACAGAGTAATGTTATGAATTATGCAATTCAATCTCACGCAATGAATCTTACATGATTCAGCGCGATGTGAGAGGGGGAAACTGAGCAAGATGTCGTGAGGAATGATGAGAGATGATTTCTGACTGATTTTCCAGCTCAGAAAGAAAAATGCTTCATTGTGTCTGTTTTAGGATTTGTTCAAAGAAGTTAGTAGCACAGTAGAAAACATATGGGAGAAAACGTATATTTGCTTTCTTGCACAGCAGCAGATCCATCTATTTTATCCAGCTATTGTGGGCAGGTTGGTCTGGAGCCACCCAGCTTACTTTAGGAAAGACATGGGATACAGCTGTGATAGTACTGAATCCCTCACAGTCATCTTCATTTGTGGTTAGGAGTTTACATACACATGAAAGTAATTTTAATTTGGGGCTTCTTGTCCCTTGCCACGTTGCACCTCAACCAAACACTTTTAGAAGCCATCAACAAGCTTCTGGTATAATTCTGCTTGGATATTTGACCACCTATTTTAGCATAATTAGTAGATTTAATTTAAATTAGTTGGTTTGTGGGCACAGACCTCGCGTTTAAGCATATTCCTCAAATTTTGACTAGTGTTGAGGTCGGGGTTTTGGAAAGGCTGTTTCAGAAGCTTAATGGGCCCTTTCCAAACAACTACGCAAAATCAGTTTGAACAATTATACATAAGTACAAGACCCAAAGTGTGATTCTGAGATGATGGGAAACAACCCAGGAACCACCAATGCTCAAGCCCACCATGAAGTGGAAACTGCATAAAGTTGATAAAATGATAAACTACCTCCAAATGATCCTAAACACATATCAAAATTGGTTTTGGAATGGATAAAGCAGGCTAACATTAAACTTCTTGAATCTAGATTATGCTTAAAAGCCAGGATTGTGCCAGGAAACCAAGCAGTTTAGAAGGATCTTGCAAATCCCGCCAAGAAGAACGCTCAAATATCCAACCAGAATTACGCCAGAAGCTTGTTGATGTCTAATGAAGTGTCTCGTCAAAGTGCAACTTGCTAGTCCAAATATTAGTAGTGGTCTACGTATGTATTGGAGCCTGTATATATAATTTGGACCCTGTGTAGATTAGAGAAAATTCAAAATAATTTAAAACTTGTGCATCCAGTTCTTGTTTTTCAGTAATTAAAGATGTATGCCGTCTAATCGTTTTAAAGAAATCATTAAAAGCCCACAATTACTATGACATTCATCCCCATGGTGAGTGTATTTAAACTTCTGACCTCAGCTGTATGTAGTGAATTTAAAATCACCATTTAACCTAAAGCCCAGAACAGAAACAGAACAAAAACGTCGCGCAAACACAACACTGACCGCTGCAGCCTCACGCACAGATGTTAGATGAGAGCATTAATGTGACTTTTACGTCTGCACACCGAATCTTCAGATCTTTAAGCTGAACTGACCAATTGTTGTGGTTACCGAGCAACTCATTAGCTTTAAGCAGCGGAGCTCTTTGCTGGTAACAGCCCATTATTTACTAGTTAAAAGCTCATTAAAAGATAGTGAAAGCCACAGGGATAATCATGATGTTATAGCTCTTTCATGACTGCTGAGTTAGTAATATTTCTGTATGCATAGTCTTGTATTTGGCTAAATGGAAAAGCTTTAGTATTCAACACACTCAACACAAGTGAATCAGCATGCTACAGATGGATAAAGCCATATTAAATAGTATGTGTAATAAAATCAGTATTCCCTTCACCACTTATCTTCCCATGTTTGTATTGAAATGTTTGCTTATTTCTTTTGCCCCCGTTTAGATCTCAGCGCCAAGGCTCTGTCCACATCCTGCCATATATGGCTGCTATGTGTCACCTTGGTGCTGACCCTGCTGGAAGGTCAAAGGTGACCCATTTCCCCATCATCTCAGAGGCGAATATTCAGAGCCGCCGTCTGTGAGCTGTACCCTCAACATCCAATCACCAAAGATTCATGCATCCTGAAAGCAGCGGGGTCCCCCCATGGACTGCAGACCACAGAAAGGCCGCAGTTATTAAATGAGCGAGAGAGAAAAAAATAAGTGATTAAAAAGTTACACAAAAAGTAAATAAAGAAGATGCGCTACATTTTTTTTTTAAAGAGACCTCTTTTACAGAAAAACACCCGCTGGCGCAGAACTCCGGACGTCTTTACGAGCACAAAGGCAGGTCGGCGACGAATGAGCCCGGACCGGCGGAGGAGATCACAAGCATCGTGGGAGGGCAGTTTGTAAAGCACAAGAACCATTTCATGAGGCGCCGGAAAGCTTCCTTCGACGACGGAAGGAAATACAGACACTGCTGACTTTTTGAATATGAAGTAACATTTCCCTGCTTATCAATACATTCAATCAGACCTTTCTCTGTGTATCTTTATCTCCATTTTCTTGCACCAGATGCCAATCCCCGACACTTGTTTTTCACTTTAGCCCAGCCTCGTGTCATTCTTTGGCATTTCTTTATCTGCTCGGTGCTGCACTGTAGAAAAACAAGGACTCCGACAACATTTAGTTCTGTCTGCTTACTCCCCTGTAGCTGCCTACGTATCTTTTAACACTGTGCTCACGAGTCCAAGTGGCCAACTGACGGTATGGTGGCAGAACAATAAGAGCAGAAGGCTCAGCAGAGGTGTAGACAGGCGGACCGGAAGGCAGAGAGATGTTCGAGCTTAAAAACGAGGAGGAGACAAAGCAGAGGAGGGAGAGGAAAAACAGGCAGAGAGTAGAGGAAGGTCCGATTAGCGAGGCCCCACTCGAATATTCAGTCAGCGGTCTGCCTGTGGAACAGAAGCCACTTTACTTTCTGCCATGAAACAAAGTGCCTTCAGATTACAAACCGAATCGTGAGCCTGGGTGTTAATCGACATCAAACAAGTCTCTGTTCATGTTTCCTCTGATGGGCTATTTTCTACATGTTTCTTTTGCCCCACAAGTGCTGACGGGAGGGCAAGGCGCGTTCAAGATCGAGAGAGGGGGTTGTGCTGCGTCCGGATTTTACTCCCGACGGAGCAGTCGCCCGCGAGTATCAGCGCGCGTTTTTGTGTGTGCATGCACCTAAGCCTATGCCTATGCACAGTTTCATGTGAGGGCAGCCAACCAGGCAGTGCTGGCAGACCCTGAGCACAGGTTTGGAAACCATTTGGATTATGAAAAAGAAAAAAGTGGCAACGGTCAAAGTGAGGCTCTGGAT